TATGCAAACCCAAAAAAAAACCTGTTTGACCCGACCCAGGAAACCTAGTCTGACTAGGAAAATAACCTTCGGTATTTTGTCTGTAACTTTCTCATCCGGCCTCGGAATGAGGTGATTTAAAATTTGTTGGAAATATGTTGAAGATACCTACGACTTTCTTCTTTTAAGTTGTTTCCATATTCAAACTTTATCGGTGTGTAAAATATATATAAATTCTTAACTGGTCACTTTTCTAGATTTCTCTCTATGCATGTTTTGTACATTTGCACTCATATATTTACAAATATACATTGAATTGATCTCAAATCAATTCTTATCATACTCAAACATCAAATATGTTATATTTTCACCTTATAACATATTTATTATTATTTTTCATATAATATTTAAATTTTTAGTGTTTTATAGTAAGCTATACAGCCATTTCTTAGCTTTGTCCCTAAGGGCAAATGGAATGAATCTAAGCATAATCGCATCCTCAAATAGTTCCCTAATCTTAATCATGAGATAAACTTTCTCAAACTCAGAGATAAATATGTAAGCGTCTTCGGTTTTATTTCCTAAAAATTTTAGAAGCATGTTTATGTAATGCAGTCTAAGCTTAAAATTAGGTCCATTTATATCAGGAAGCTTAATGCAAGATGGGACTGCATTCTTAGTTAGGTAACACATATCTTGAAGAACAGGTGGATTATCTATTTTAAAGGATGGTTTAACACAAATTAAACAATTGGTGATATCCCTAACCTAAATTTGCATATACCGAAACAAATTCTTTTTATAATTATTTTAAATTCTAAGAAAAACAGAAGCTAGTTTTGTTTTTGAGGAAAAAACTAAAAGATCTAAAAGATAATGAGAATGATGAGAAGAAAAAATAACTAAAACAAATCAAAAGTAATCACTTTGTGTCAATCACTTTAAATTTTAGGGTTAAGCCTAGACTCGACTAGACCAGCTCTTAACCAAATACTCATTTAGGGAAATGATTGAAGTTTACATTGTTAGCTAGCCAGGTAAGAATAATACTAGAGGGAGATTAAAGATTAATTAAGCACCTCGTTCTTTATGGAGTGCTTTACACAACCCCAAAATATTGCCTTAGACACCAACGCATTCAAGTAAAGTTAAACTGGTTTGCTTGGGGATTTCTTATTCCTTAATGAGTTCGACTCCTTAGGGGCCAACGTCTAATGAGTTTTAAAAAGCTTGGGCTTGTGTAGTGAGGAATTAGTGATTTGTGAGCTAAGGAAATGGTGATAAAATCTCTCACCTTATCTTGATTAAGGAGTTTTCCCTTAAGAATATTTTTAAGTGAGTGTTAAATCAAGATGCTCAAATCACTTGGATGAATTTATACTATTATATGCAATGCAACCCTATGAATTAAAAATAACTACAAAAGGATGCTCAAAATAAAATCTTTTTATTTTTTAATTAAGTTTAATAATCAAACAAATGTGAGAAAGAAAGCTCTTGTTTGAATTTATTATCTTGTTAGTAAATGTCCAAGTGGAGGGTGAATTTTATTATGGTCGACTAAAAGTAAATTTTTTTTTTAAGATCCTAATTATCTCTACTCATGAGGAACTAACTAAAAGGATGGAGTAGAAAATACTAGAAAGAAGAGTTACCACAAGTAAATCTTTAATCTTCAATCTTCAATTCTTAATCTTCAATTTCAAAATGGTTCCTTAAGAAAACACACAAATTAAAGAACCAAAATAAAAAAATCCTACTTATAAGTACCTTCTCCAGCAACGGCGTCAAAAACATGATGTGGTGTTTGTGAATATGTCGAGATTGCAAGTGCATAATCAAGTTATAGTATAGAAAAATATCAAATCCCATGATGAAGGTGTTGCAGGAATTAATCAAAAGTGATTCTTAAATTGTGTTTGTGACAATTAATAGTGAGAAATGTGTGATTGTGGAGAGATATGAGGAGAGTGGTTGTGACTATATGCAAATAAAAACAAAACTAGATTGAGAGTGGAGAAAGAAAGAGGAAGAAATAGAAAAAAAATAAAATCAAGAATCAAATAAAGAGAAATCAAGAATAGAGAGAAAAATTAAGAAAGTAAAAGATGGAGGATTCAATTAGAGATATGAGGAATCTACAATTGAATCCACTAGCCAATTTCAATTATAAATTTTGGATTATCCTCTTTTTATCACACTTTACATTAGATTTATTAAACATAGACTATCAAACCACTTAAGAAAAATATAACCTATCAAATTATTATCTAAACAAAATTAACATTCATGAAAAGAACAACAACTAGATAGTAATTCTAGAATTCCTACAACCAATTAGTTCTCTAGTTGATTATCTTAAACATGATCATTTTAAGTGCAAGAGAGTAATTCACAATTCATAAAAAAAACTAGACCAGTTTCATGTAATTCTAAAATTTTAACAATAATTAGTTTCATATCTTAGAAAATAAAGATAAAGAAACAATGAGAGAATGAAAATAAGAACTAACTCCAAAGAGGATTCTAACCTCTAAGTGAGATAATAAAAATAAAAACTAACTTCAAAGAGGGTTCTAGCCTCTAAGTGAGAGAATGAAAGGAAAAGAATGAACAAAATAAAAACTAATTCCCAAGAGCGTTCTAACCTCTTGGTGAATAGTACAAGAAGATACAATCTAAACTATGTAAGAAAATAAATCTATACTACAAAATAATTATAAGAAAATAAAGACATGAAAGTAAATCTACTCTACAATGCATGAAAATAAATCTAATTCAAGTGGGTTCTAGTCCCATGATTATCTAAAGCAAGAAAAGAAAATGTTACAAGAAAAACAAAAAGATAAAAGATAAAATTTACATTCTAAGAGGGCTTTAGCCTCTTGATGAAGGCAAATCTTTATCTTGATCTTCATCTTCATCATCAAACAAAGAGAAGAAAGGAAACATATGAAGAGGTGAAAAAAATTATTTTATTAATTATAATAAAAAGTTATAATTTTGAAAGGTCTTCTTAATTCAGAGTAATCATCCTCTCCAAATAGAGTATTTACAAAAAATTTTACCCTCCAATCATTCACTCTCTATCCCTATTTATAGCCTTCAATAATGAATGAGAACTGTTAGATTTTACTTGAGCTCCAAGGATCAAATCTTAGCCATAAAACGAGTTTGTTACATATCAATTATTCGGCCCAATCCGTTTACCAATTAGTTGGCTGACCGATTGGCCAAGTGGTTAGCTGAACAATTAGAAATTAAAAATTCTAAAAATGTATTTAGCTCCGTCTCATCGAGATAGGTAATTTTTATATATTATATGTTCAATTCCGCCTTCCGGATTGAGAGATATCACCATTTTTTGTGGTTAACATCACGAACATGATTTTCACTTGATTTCTTTTCATATTTGAACCTTGTTTCTTCGGCTTTTGTAGGTTGCTTGGCATGATCTTGAGCTTCAATAAAAAGTTAAAAAATAAGAAAAATTTGAGCTCTTTTTGAGCTTACGTTCATTAATTCTTTATTAACCTGTAAATTATGATAAAACGTGTTTATTTAAACGAAATAAATAATGAGGGTAAAAAATGTAATAAAAATATAATTATAAATAACATAGGAACCTTCCCAATTTTGCTCAAATTTTTACCGGCATGGTGAGTAACAATGATTGGTCTTCATAGTACCGAGATGTCACGCCCCGCTTCCCAAAATACCCGAGAATCGAAATGTGAATAAGCCTACGACGTATTAGATTAAGGAGAATAAATAAAAATAAACATTTCTCCTCAACCTAATACGCTAAGCATCAAGAAATAAATATAATGTGAAGTCACGGGTCCCCGATCATAATAGCGAGAATATAATGAACAACACAGAAGAAAATAATACATATCATAATGAATATCATCACAGACATAATATTCGGGTCAACATGCCCTTATACAAAACTGAACAAATAAATACTGGAGAACATAAAATACAATGATCAAGTGGAAAAGGAAATGCTACAAAAGTAAGCTAAGACCATCGAACAACTAGAGGGAATAACTAAGCTTCGTCTTCTTCCGCTCGATCTGCAAAACAATCCTGCGGAGAATCCTTCGGTTCTGGCACGTCTCCAAGCTGTACCTGGTCTTCCTCAAAGTCTGACGTACACCAGAAAAAATAGGTGTACGTTAGCATGCATGGCACACGGCAAGATCCCACAAAAGAAAAGAATGAACGAAAACCCAATGCAAAAAACGATACAATAGCAGAAATGACAAAGAAACGTGCAACTGAAAATCCAACAAAATCAACCAACAAGTCGATCATGCAGCAAGCGATCAGAATAATCATCCAAGTAACAGGGTCATACAACTAGATGGAATTAATACTTTAAAATATACAATAAGAGACGTAGTACGTCGAGCGAAATAATTCAAACAAGGAAACCCTCATGTATATACCATATGTCTCAAACGTAGTACGTCGAGCGAAATAATTCAAACAAGGAAACCCTCATGTATATACCATATGTCTCAAATTATAGATAATTAAATATTAATCCCGATCTATGTATGAAAAGAAACACAACTGGCCTACATCTCATAGAAATTCATACTTAGCCAAGAACGAGGACATGTAACTAGACATCCTAAGACTCACCGGTCCACATCACACATAAAGTTAACATTCATATCACCGGATAACTGACTATTCACAAATCCTCTACGCGCATCCAATACCACTACACGAATCAGTCAAATGACTACACGCTA